AAGGCTTTTATGAAAAAAAAAAAACTTGCAGACTGAATTGTTTTTATCTAAAGCCATTTTGCTTGATCCTAACCCGTTCAGATTTATGCCAGCATTTATGGATGCAAAGCTGCAGGCAAAAATTTAAACGTCAAAGTTTGTTTATCTTTCTATAGTTGCGCTGTGCGATCCAGCGTTCTTCCAGGCAATGGATTGGAAGCAGTTACTCAGAAAGTGTGCGATACTGTTGTATTATATTTAGCATTTCGTACAGTTTGTTCCCGAAGAAGATCCCCTTCTTCCGGATGGTTCCCGAATTTTTTGAAGCATTTGATGAGTTGATGCTTTGATCGGAAATCAGGTAATCTCTGCTAACTGGCAGTTTGGTAGCTTGCTGTCGGTACTGATCCAAGTAATTCCGATCGTCACCTATTGGTGCCGGTTCAGCCGGACGTGCTGCTTCTTCTTAAGCTGTAAATTTTGCTGAAATAGACTTCCCTTCGATCGTTAGAATCGCTTAAATTTGTCATCCTACTTTGTCTATCCTTCGAGATTTTCTTGTCATAAATTTTGGTTTTATTCACTATGAGGATCCATGGCTTTTAAGTTTAATTTGTAAACAGAGCAATTGTGGATTTTATAATACACTTTTAAAAGGCTAAAAAGCATTGAAATATGCCTTTTGCTCTCATTTAAAACCTTATGATTTCATGGTTGCTTTTATAATGATAGAACACTTTTATAGAGTATTTCATCAAGACATTAATAATCAATTGCTGATGAAGTTTATAATTGTATTACAGAACAGTTTTATTGAGGTTTTGAGAACTGCTTTAAATGTATGTTTTAAACTAGGCAATCGTCGACTTTCTCGTCAGACTATAAAAGGATTTTAAAACAGCAAAAAGCTAAACAGCAACGTTTTATACTTTGAAATGCTGTATTTAAACTCAATGGATTGTTTATTTCCATTATAAAACCATCATAAAGTAGAGTGGATGCCAAATGGTTCCTGAATTGCTACTTGGGTGATTATCATCTCAGCATTTGTTAGGACTGTTAAAGGCTGACTGGTCGATTGCCGTTTTTTGATTCGAATTCACGGACCTGAACGCCTTCGAGCGTTGCAGCACAGAAAAATAAACATAAGTCTGAGACTTCGAAGTAACTTAATTTATCTCTTGCTTAGGAAAGTTCACTTGATTATTGTTAAGAAAAATCTTCAAGAACAGGAGAGTTTTTTTTCAGGATTTATAAAAATATTTTTCAGAAATTTCCTAGATTCTGAAACGTAAGAAGCTATTATGATTCAAATCAAACACAAATATGTGAAATGAAGTAATGTGAAATTAACATTTATCAAGTGTCTGGGGCTTCATTTATTTTTAAATTTCTTGCACATTGAAACATTCTAAGGTCTTAAGCTTGGACAAATCGGTGTCAACATTTCAAATGGGTGTATTTTTTTTTTGTAAACTATGGCTTTTGCCGTCGATTACTCGCAGCACTTATTAGGCTCACACATAAGAATTAACGACACCAACAGGTAGATGAATGTTTCCTCTACCAGCTAGCATTGTTAATTTGAAAAGTTGAGCTTTCATCTGCGAGAAATCAACGGCTAAAGCCATTGTTTACAAAAGAAATTACGACCCTTTAAAATTTTAGCTTTGATTTTTTCTTTTAGATTTATCAAATTTTGGTATCTAAGCCCTTGTAAAGTTTGCGATTAACTTAGGAATATAAATGATCGACTTTTAAAACTAGATTTTCCAGTTTATTCAAGATTTTGCCTACCTCTATTCCGAATCCTGTTCACGTAAATGTTTTATCTCTAACATCAAAATATGCCATCTCATGGGTATATTTTTACAATGACCCTTCCCCCCAAAAGAGCTGCCCCTACAGCTAAAAGTTCACTAAATTTAGTTTGAAAAACATTTAAAATGTCATAAACCCATTTAAAATTTAGGGTAAAAATGTCGTAGACAACGTAAGAATTTCAATAAAAAATTTCCAACAAATAATTTTTAAGATTTTGGGAGCATATTTCATCTAGTATTGCAGAGCTCCGGCGGACGCACCTAGTCACCTAAGAATTAGTAAAATCCATCGACAAATAAAAAACTTCAAGCCATTCAAAGTGGCCTGGGGTCAAATTGACCCCAAGGTACAGACAAAGGGTTAAGTGGTTTTGACGTAGGACTACGTCTGTGATTTCTAAGGGGGGGTACACTTTGTAAAAACCGAAAATGGAACATCTAATCTAATCTAATCTAATCTAACACCAACACAGCCAGTTCATGAAAGCATCCTGGAAAATGATAGATATACCTCCATTCTTTTTCTTGTCTATTTGGTATATTTTGTGCATCAGAAATGCGCAAAATGTATCAAAACGGCCAGGCCTACTGTGCAGCATTTAAGGGGCAAGATGATTCAGAAACATCGGGCCTGTTTGAATCAAAGATTTAAACACGATGCTTCAGAATCCAATAAATGGATGAAACATGGACATCTCGTACCGTACGTTCCGTTATTATAAATGATTGGTCGTTGGGAGCATTCAATCTAAAAAAAAAAGTTAAATGATGCTCCTTTGTCCTCGAGTGGTTGGGACATGAGCACTAGCTCTTGTCTTAGCCATATATGGCTTATGGTTATAGCGCCATTATTCGCTTTCTGAAAAGAAAAAATGGAATAAAAGGCCGTAGGAGAAAGGAAAAGGAGGAAGGAACCCTAGTTCTGAAACTGAAAAAAAACGTGTCTCTAATCAATCTACAGGAAAAGTTCGCTAAAACTCACAATGACTCGCGAACTTTTCCTTTTGTGTGCCTATATTTACCGAGAGGCCACCGAATCAGTTACACCCTCATAAGTACTACGGAGTTGGAGTATTGGGTACGATATTAGGTCAGGATACGCCTCAACCAGGCAATACAACCAAAAAAAATATTTTTTTTTGAGGAATTTGATAATAAACCCACTATCTTATGCACAGTAAGCAAACGCAGCAACCAGTAAGCTAGCCGAGTTCCTCAATTTGTTTTCTTAGTACTGTATTAGTGAAATTTATATGGAACATAATGTTACGAACTAAATAAAAAAAAACGAAGGATCTCACCCAAATAATCCTTGAAGCTCCCGAATACAGTTCAGAAAAGTTTCTTGGATCTTGATTAAGGAAAACCGCTACTCGTTGCCAGCCCTCGGAAAGAGATGCATCAAATGCAACAGTCCGGCATCTCTCGGTATCACTATAAGCCTGCTGGATTCACACCATCGTGATCTTAGGATCTTCTTTGCCCATCAGCTAAGACAGCTGCCAACAAACACCGCTCCTGGATCTTCCTTTTTGCTTTTTCTTTTTCACTTATCATCTGCCATGGTCTGATCTATCCAATCCCGTCCATGAGATTTTGAACAATTGAACAGTCGAAAGTTTGTTTATGATTAAAATGGTTAAAATCACCAAATGAAAATCAGCAGCAAAATTAAAAACGTGTCAACTCTCCAGCGCGACGTACTTCGATCTCCTGAAAACCGAAAATGGAACATGTAACAAAATTATGACAGATTTTGAACGTTGATAACTCAGCTGCTCCAAGACCAATTTCAGTAATTTCATTACCAATCGATCAGAAATTCAAATCGATCATTTTTCAAAATGTCACCATTAAAATGTCCAACTGTTGCTATGATAATTGCGCAACTGCTGCTGCGAAAAGCGATTTCCCTAACACAGATTTCAAAATTGAATTCCATCCGGTCTCACCAAACGGTGTTTATTCAAACACCGCGTGATGAGTGATGGTGTTCTCCAGTACACAACAAAAGGCTTCTCGCAAGCAGCTAGCTATCAAGGCTGGCCTCAACCGCTGATCGGATTCAGTTCCAATCACCGTGTGTGGTCCGGTCGTCGGCATCAGCAGCCCACATGAGCATCCATAGAAGGAGGAAGAAGCCGCACCGCTATTGATCGGAATCAGTAGTTTTTCGTAAGTCGCACACAGCTCACCAGCCTCATATGTGTTTAACACCCTAATAGCTCAGCATTACTCAACCATCACGACAAAACGGTTCTTTTCAGGACCATCATAAATTTGTACAAGAGTATTTTTTGGACATTTGTCAAGGTCATCAATCGGATGTCAGTTCCCAAGATAGAGCTGGAATCAGGGCCTAACAGCTTTTGTAAACAATGACTTTTTTCGATGATGTCTTGAAAATCATCGAGAAAAGTCATTGTTTACAAGAGCTGTTACGCTTAATTCCAGCTCTATCTAGACATGTTTAAATCTAACATACCCTGTTCTTGAAGGTAACATTGGAGGTGCACGAATGTGCAACTGTTGCTATGATAGTTAAAATTATCACCGACAGTCTGCGAAAAGCGATTTCCCTAACACAGATTTCAAAGTTGAATTCCACCCGGTTTATTAAATCACCGCGTGGTGAGTGGTGGTGTTCTCCAGTACACAACGAAAGGTTGCCTGCAATCAGCGAGCTTCAGCCCACATAAGCATCCATAATAGGAGGAAGAAGCCGCATCGCTGTTGATCGGAATCAGTAGCTCTTTGTGAGCCGCTGTGGGTCATCTATGTCAAGCGTGTCATACTAAAGAGTATAAACAGAGAGAACCGCGCTCAAATTCCTATTCCTACACAAAACACAAGCTCCTACTGCAGTTAAAAATAAGATTTATTATATAAGACCACGTAGTCCTACGTCACCATTGCGTACAACCCCATAGGGCTGTCCCTTGTAGTTTTTTAATATCCATCTAATAACTCTGTTAAGTGCTATTGCATAACAACTGATAGATCGCGCTTTGTTATTTTCGTATTAATTTCATATTTTACAAAATATTTCGATTGCAAACTAAAAGCAAAACAAGATTTTATGCCTCGACCATACCAAAATAAGGTATCATGCCTAATTAAGATATTCATATGCTATCGGTTGCTTATCGGTTCTTGCTCGGCTAGCAAACGCTTCATCCTTTCTCATTCCCATCACAGACACCCACGAGCTTCGGATCCCGGAGAAGGAGGGTCTTCTCTTCCACTACCGGGACAACTGCATCGGCTACGGTTGCGGATCATTCATCGAAGACACCCGTGCCCGTCGTTACGCAACCAAAATGTGGCACTCCGTTGACGCCGCTTGTCAACGGCTCTTCCCCGAACTGGACGGCATTTGTCCACTGGGCGAGGAAAACGATTGACCGTCATCAAAGCAGACGAAAACTAGTTCCTCTGTTACTTTGTTTATTGCTATGTGTCATTTTACTTAAATACATCTTACCTTAAGAACTAATCTTGCCGTTACGTTATATTTATTTAGAGAGAAATACACATGTATTGCATTTTAGGAAGAAAATAGAATACACTTTGTTACGCCCCTGTCGTAAAAGTTATCTCGCTGGGTGTCCTTAGAACAAAGGAAATGGTCGTCTCTTCTTAAATTTATTCGAGTTTTTCATTTTCACCGTCACTAACTTAATCTTGGGTTCATTTTTCATCAAGTCCATTTGTCGTTTAGCCTGGGATTAAGTTTCCATTAGTCATTGCGTCGTCTCGCTCTTTCTGTCTCTAGGATTCATTGCTCTTCAGTGGGTTTTCGTCGACGACGGGGTTTCCATCGTTGTTGATATCGTTGGAGGAGGAACTGCTCGAAGATCCGGGAGCACCACCGCCAAGGGCCGCATCACCATCCGACGGCGAGTGTAGCTGGCTGGCTGCGACGGAATCGCCGGTGTCCCGATCCATCAGGTAACTGGTAGACCCTAGGCCTCCCGACGGGCGGGGACGTGAACCATAGGCAGTGCTAGAAGGGGCGAAAGAAGCAAGGAAGCTCTGTTTTAATGGTTAGGAATCGATGGGTTCCAGGGGCGGTAAAAAAGGGGTTAGAAGAAGCGAAACAAGCATAAGTAGATGGTTGAACAAAATTGCAAATAATGAAACGGTGGATGTAAGCATCTGCTCATGTATTAGTTTTTTGGATCATCTCTTATCTCTGCTTACGGGTTCTTCTGCACATCTCAATCATGTTTTTCGTTTAAAAGATATCCCAAAAAATGGACACACTCTGCATTTCCGGAGTGATTCGAGATTTGGGCGTAATTGCTTTTGTAAACAATCACGTAAACTGCAAATTTCTTGCGAATAAAAGCTCAATCTCGAAAACTTAAAACACAATCAGGTGAGAAATGATTCCTCTACCATTTGGCGATTGAAGTGTTTGTGTACAAAAGCTATAACGTCCAAATCGAAAATCACTCTGAATATGTCAGCTTATGCTCCAACCATTTATGAAAACATAAAAAAAAAACTTTCTACTTTTGAAAAAGCCATCACAGAATACCCCAATGTAGAAGAACACTCTCTGATCCATCCCCTCCATTCCTCCATCCCATCGAAGAAATACTAAAAGGTTACAAATACTTTCTTATGGGAAAAGAAAGCACCATAGAAACGAGCAACCCCCCTTTTGTTCCATTCGAAACGAACTTGAGTTAACGCTAATTTATAACCTAGTTTTGGAGGCAAAACTTTCTCCTCGCTTTTGCACTATTTCCTGCCTCCCCCTGACCACTGCTGCCACTGCCATCCACATTTATTTGTTCTGAAATTTTTCGGAAACAATAACTTCCGGTTGCCTATTGCGAAAATCCCCCTTTCCCTCAGTTGCAAAGTTGAAAAGCTTGAACAAGTCCCGAATTTATTGCTAATAAATAGCACAGCTTCCAGAAAAGAATCAACAGCAGCAGGGAAATTAATTAAACAAAGATTGGCAACGCCTCCAGACGGGGAGAGTGCGATTCGGCTTCAAGTAGTACCTACTTTTGTAGGTTACTGGGGAAGGACCAGATGTTGTTCTGCTTTTCGAAAACTTACAAACACACTCACCATGACTAACCGGATGTATTGTGTCTGTATAGTGGAAGAACAATTAAAAGTTTTCCTGGAGCGCATTTGCCTTAAGGGCGACAAAAGTTTACCACCAGCATCAGGACAGGGCAGGAGCAGGAGCGAGATGCCAGACTAGGCAGCTGGGGATTGATGAAAAAGTGCCACGGATTAACCGATGGGTGAGGAACGGCGGTGGCATTCGATTGGAATGGATTGATTGAACGACTACTGGCTGCATTTCCTTAGGGAGGGGGGCTGAAGCTTTCCGAGAAGGAAATAAATGCGAATAATCAATCTGGAAGCTCGAGCTGCAATGCTACATTTTCGCCACAGACAGGGCAGATGGTGTAATTTGTTCGGATCAGGATGGATTAAGTTAATGTGGCAAATTGTTGGCTAGTTTTAAAAAGCAATTTGCTGATGCGGTTCAGCGGAGTTGATTGTTGTCCGGATGAGTCTGTAACTTTGTGACTTTGATTGTAATACAGTGAAACTATCCTACCCACTGCGATTCAATGACAATGAATGAACGTTTATAGTTCCTTTCCCAAGTAACATTGCATGCTTTATAGAGATTTTATAGCATTAGGGTTGAAATCATGGTCTACAGAACCCACATAAAACCAAAATTGTTACTTGGGTATACTTCCGCCACGGTAGGCTAGCGCATAACTCTCTTTTTTCTTAACCCTCCGTTACTCGCGCCAACTTTTGTAACACGAGTACTCGCGCGTTGTACTTTGTACAACAGTGGAAAATGCCATTTTGCAGCCGAGCTACCAATCAATATGAAACCAACGGGTATTTCTTAAAAAAACTTGTTTTTAACTAAACAAGTTAAACTTTTATCACAGTTAACCCCCAAAAAGGCGGATAATAGAGAAAATGTGAATGGAAACCGCGTAAACGGTGTCCGTACTACGAGGGATTTGACTTAATTGGTTACAACATGGATCATGCCAGATAGAAAAATACTGTCTTCGGCAATGTTGTTCTAGATATCATAACCTTTTTGCTGGTGGAGAGTAGTTCAGAATTTTCTCACTACGTAGCGAAGTTATCGCATATGATATATCTCGAGATCATGACCAGATAGAAAGTTACTGTCGTCGACAAAGTTGTTCATGAGATCAAAGCTTATTTCTTGGTGCACAATAGTTCAAAATTTTCTCAATACGCGGCGCTAGTATATACGTGAAACTTTCATGTAAACTATCTCGAGATCCTGTCAAGATAGGAAGCTACTCCCTTTGGCAATGCTGTTCAGGAGATCATAACCTTCTCGCTGGTGAACAGTAGTTCAGAATTTTCTCACTAGATAGCGTTCGTATACATGTTAAGTTCTCTGATGTGATACATCACACGCTATGTCTGAAGGCACTTTTTTTGCAACTTTCGTGGACCTCAGTTTTTTCTTCGCACGAGGTTAGTATTGATTTTAACAATGATGGTTTTAAAATATTTCATCTTGGAATTTTTGAGAAAAAGTGTTTTGAAGTTTACTTAGCTATTTACAAAGGCGTATACGGACTATTGATGATACAAAACTGTTAAGGTATTGTAAGATTCCCTCTTCGGTACCGTCAGATATCGTTACTTTGTCATGATCTCCTAATGTTAAAATTAATAAAATAATTAAACAATGGTTTAGTCCTAAATTTACTATTATTGAGACATTCCATTGCAAAGTGGTTCTTAATATTTGGTAAAAAATTGTAGTTTTGTTCGTTATCGCAAAATATTTTCTTTATTTTGTCATCAGGAGGACCATTTCATCGTTAGGGTAGTCCAAAAAATCGTTTATTTTTTATTTTTTTCAAAATGATTTTTTTCAAAAAATTATAGCTTTTGAACCACTGCGATGCGTTGTTTTTCATTAGCTGATGATCAAAACTTCATCCTTCAAAAACTGTCGTCGCATTTTCGGCAGCCACCATATTGGGTTATTGAGATCATTCTTGGCCGCGTTGTCTTTCTTCATAGCTGAGTTGAGGCCGGGCTGTATGGTATAATAGTTTGACGGCCGGTATGTAATAAAAAGATGACTGTTACATACCGATCTTATTAGAACTCAGATTAAGATCTTTCTTAAAGCTGAGTAAATCTTCGTGAGAAATCATAGCTTTTTTCCTGACTGTTTTGGGCTTCCTTCGACGTTTGAAAAACTAACCTAGGCTAGTTTTTTGCCTGCTAACTCTCTAATGCTTTTGGCAACACAGTAATTCTTACTTTCATCTCCCAATTTGAAGAGATTCTGAAGTTTCCCAGGAAGAACCTGCGTCAGACATAATTTTCAAATTTTTATGATTTTTTTTTTCTGTCGTGTTTTTTTTTTTTTTTTTTTTTCTTACAAATATCTACACACCCGCACAACTTTGACTGTAGACTTTGGTTTGAACTTATTGTTAACATCTTTCTTGTGGATATTTTTAAACCTCAATTTTCATAAACTGCTCCCTTTTTGACGTAGACTACGTCTTACGGGAAGGTACTGGGGGTAAATCGAAAATCTAAATTTGCAACCGTCACGAAAAGTTGTAATTTTTTGAACGCTATAAGCTTTGTCATTTATAGATGAAATTAAAATCCGAATACACCAATCGATAGGAAATACCTTTTGTAAGCTGTTGCAATAATTTTTTTTCAATTTTTCATAAAAAAACTGTCTTAAAAATGGACAAATAAAAAGTGATAATTTTATCACTGTTTTCATGAAATAAACGTTCTTCTCAAACCCAGTCCTCATAATCAAGTACAATTTGGTTGCGCATCGTTTTGTTTGAACGTATTTTTTGAAGCTATTATAAAAGCGCTGCTGTCGTTCTTCGGCTCATTACAGCTTTGAACGACGTAGGAAGCAGAAGCAAATACAGTAAAAGGTGGAATTTCTCTTTGCTGAACACTATCGCAGTCGAGCTTATGCTGCTATTCGTGAATCCGCTCATTTTTGCATCGGACGGACGGTAAAAGAGTAGGAGTCAGCGGTAAAGTATCAGCGGACGGCATGATCACCTTGACGGCAACCAGCGATGAAGTGGAGTGAGGGAGGAGAGGATGTTAAATATGTGAAGATCGAACCAATTGGTCCTTTTCAAAAAACGGCGGGAAATCCTGTCAGGGGCGGGGTTTGGAAAGTATATTTTGTGCAGTATATGTAAAATGGGAGGGACTTTGGATGTTGATCTAAAGGCATATATCGTGCAAAATAGAGAAATAACTCTATCTACTACTTGCAATTCACGCATTATTTCTCAGAAGTGCATATTTGATAACGAAAAACTTCTTGGAAGTAAAATAAGCAATTATTGAGAAATTGTGGAACAGCGAATCAGTGCTATGTCTCAACGTTTGAGTGCAAAATACGTGCGTAATTACTGGGAGCGCGTGAAGGATCGAAGGCAGACGTTTCTCCGAAACGACACAAGACCACTGCAGAGAGAGCTCGGTTAAATCGGGCCAACAAAAAAGCAGTCAGAGGTAATGCGTCACCATCTACTGGTTGGGACGCTGGATAAGGTCCTTCAACTCGAGGTAGGAAGTTCACATTAATTATTAACAACCTTTGGAACTGCATACGTTCGACACGTAACTATGATTCATACTAACAAAACATTTAACAAGTGGGATAACCAGTATACGAGCTTGTGCTCTGACTTTAAAATTTAATTACTGGTACATAGGTTACTTCTACTGTATTTTAAATCAATATCTAGAAAATAAATGCACGAGAATTTCACTACACAGCTTAACGTATTCTACGTCAACCCTGCGGTCGTGTCTTGTACACAACCCCACCATTTTTTTATACTGGTAAACGGCAATGTAACATGTGTTAGCCGTACTCAAGATATATTTTTAGGTGGCAAATTCTCATTTTTATGTCCTTCCACCCTGCTCATACCCTCAATCACATTT